CCCAGTATGCATCAATTAGCTTATGGATGGCATGCTCCACACTATAGCATTTTTGTGCCTGCACCTTTCAGATGAGTAGTGTTTGAGTATGTATCTGCCTGGTGTTTAGCTTTTTATATGCTCATTTTAAGTGCTTATATCTGCTTGTGTCCCCTGGCATCTAGCATTGTTAGTTACCTGTTATCTAATGGCTTTATGCTGTGCGGGGCCCAACACATTGTTTTTTCAGTGTGCCACCAATAATGGAGCGGCATTCATGTTGCTCCTGTAAGAATCAGGATTTTTTTTAACTTCTGAGATCAATCTATTTAAAACTAAGCAAAACCTTTCCATTTCTTGCCCAGCAAGCAAAGTATGGAAGAAATCAACTACTCTCCACCACAATGAAAGAAAATGCATAAATAAGTCAGAATAGTAAACCACAGCGGCATCTGCAAATCTCAAGGTGTTTACCAAAATACAACAGCATGTCTTGTACAGAACAAAAAGAACTTGTTCAAGCAAACTAGAGACATTAGTGTATATGGAAACGCTAACAACAAGCCTCTCTTATTTGCTCTTTAAAATATACTATTGACAGCATTTTGTTATATCAGTTTGATACTTGCAATAAAAAAAACCTGTTGATACTGCCAAAAATTAAATGACCTCTTACATTTCTCTGTACTGTGCCCGTCCTAACCTAAAATCACAAGCCGTATTTTTAGTCCTGCCCAACTTTCCTCTGTGGACTACAAAACATTCAGTTCTATGTCATGCAGAGGAGGAGAGCAATAGGTGCTCCTCCATAAATTCAGTACAATGAGTGAGCATTGTCATTCTAGAACAACAAGTGCGTTTGACAGGATTGCCAGGTGAAATTAGAGTAAAAACATGAAAAAAGGAAAAATGCATGAACCATATCTAAGGACTTGTAAAATGTAATCTATTGCATTTATGTTTTTGGGTTTAGATGCGTATTTTTAATGCTCTGTAATGTTTAAGCAGAAAAATGAAGGCTTTTATAGCCCAGAATGTGAGTTTTTGGTTCAAACTAGTAAAGGTCACTTTGCCACTAATCCTGGTAATCCAAACACAGCAGGAGATTAAACATAAAAAGTGAGTTAATATTTTCCAGCAATCAAAGCAAGGTCGATCATGGAATTATGAAAGCAAACAACAACCTTCAAGTAGTAGCAAAATCTTCAGATTAACTACTAAATAGGCTAAACTACATCTCCAAGCTGAACTGAACAATAATGCCATGCACTTCTGTATGGGGATAGAGCAGCAGTAAGCATTTTGATATTTTAAATGGACATGTTTTATTTTTGAAATAACACCAGAATAGTACTTGACAAGGGAGTGTCTGACATTAGTAAATTAACTACTGTTACTGTAGGCACAAGTATCAATAAGTCTTAAGGCCTTTTCGATTAGTATTAAGCTCAGGTTATATCGTTTTTCCAGTGTCAATACATTCTTCTGGGGTTCAAAGAGCCAAGAAAAGTGTCCTAAAACATTAATTGCCTGCTCTAATACTAATCTTTAGTGGCCTGCTTCTAGCACAATATATTATACGTTTGCTGGTACTCCAGAGTTCACACAATCCCACGTATTAGAGGTTCTGCAAAGTTTGAGATGCAACAAAGCATTTTTCTGCAACAATTATTACAAATTTGCCTGCTGAAGTTCTGCTGCTGAAACATTGTGTGGCACCTTTAGAGTACCAGAGCACCAGAACAGGATACAAACTTTGGGATACCAAGCAGGATTTATCATGCAGCAAACGGTACAAAGTTGTTCCCTGTGGTCCAGCTTCGGAAACATTGTGTGGCACCTTTACAGTGCTGGAGCACTGGAAATGACTGCAAACTGAGTGGTAATGTAGAATTTACCCTGCAGCAAACATTAGAAGTTTGGGAGCTAAGGTCATGTTGCAGAAACATTGAGTGGTGCCTTTACAGTGCCAGAGCATGGAAACAGGCCAAGAGATGCAGCAACTGTCACCCATTCAAGTTAATGATCGGGTGACAGCCGCTGCATGTACACACCTGCACACCGCATGTAATGGTATGTTATATGATTACATGCAGTTACAAAAACAATCACTATCCCTGGATAAACAATTGTGTAACCACTGATAGTGACAGATTCCTAACTACATGTAATCCTTTCACATATGATTACATGTGGTGTGCAGGCGTGTACATGCAGCAGCTGTCACCCGATCATTAATTGAATGGGTGGCAGTTGTCGCTTGTAACATATGCAGACATTAACACTGGTACAGTATATAGTAGCGGCCCCCACGCGACTAAAAAATGTGTCCAGTGGCCCCCGACTAAATTGAGTTTGAGACCCCTGCTCTATACGGTCATCCCCAATGATGCGGGACTGCAAGCCATAGAGTTTTTCCTTTTGAAAGAACGTGCCTTGGAGTGGCCAGTGGAGTTTGTTACACAATGCATGCGGTTTATATTGGAGCATAATTTCTTTTTCTTTGAGCGCGATCTGTTTTTGCAAACAAGGGGAACAGCAATGGGGAACTCAGTGTCCCCATCATTTGCGAATCTCTTTGTGGGGTACCTTGAGGAGGTTTATATTTCCAACTCAGAATTTTATAAGACACATGTGGTGTTCTGGAAAAGGTTAAATCGATGATGTGTTCATCATCTGGAAAGGAAGTGCATTACAGTTTAATGAATTTGTCACATTTCTAAATGGCATTTTTCCTGAAATTGTGTTTAATCCTGACATATCGGGACAGGGCATTGCATTTTTGGATGTATTTATCACCATCCAGGCACACAAATTTCATACTTCCATTTACTCTAAACCTACAGACAGAAACACCATCCTGCACTATACCAGTTCACACCCTAGACATCTTAAGGAAAATCTACCCATTTCACAATCATGAGAATTTGTTCCAATCCAGATGAGAGCAACAGTCAAATTGAAATCATGCGCCAGAAGTTCCGCCAAAGAGGATACACTGACCATGTTGTCAATAAAGCCCTGACTTGTGCAAAGGAGAGGTTACTCTCCCCTCCAACTCACAAGGAGATGGATAAAATTCCATTTATCCAGACCCTACAATCGCTTGTCAGGAAAAATTAAACAATCAACCATCAGGAACACTAATATTCTGATGGCTGATAAAAACCTCACACAGAGCGTAAGAACAGTGTATAAACGGGACAAACCTTAGCAGTAGCAGTATATAAACGGGACAAAACTCTGTGGGATCATTTAATCCAGGCTGACTCCAAAGAGAAATATGCCACACAAACATGGAAGATATCCAGTAAATCAGGCTTTTTCAAATGCTACAACTGCAATGTATGCAATGCAACCATTGAGGATGGAAAATGTACACACCCCCACAATGGTAGTAATTACAGGATTGATGGATATCTTAATTGCAACACAGAATTTGTGGTATATATTCTCAAATGCCCGTGTTCACTCATTTATGTGGGGAAAACCATAGGTCCATTCAAAAAAAGATTTCAAAAACACCGGAGTGACATCAGGATCGCCTTTAAAAAGGTAGAGTCTGGCGAGGATTTTGACAGGAACAAACCGGTTGCTGTTAATTTTGTAGAGAACAGGCACCAGACACATGAACTGCAGGGAATGGCCATTGAATATATACAGATTGACCATAGAGGGGGCAATAAGGAATTACAACTCTTACGCAGGGAAGCATTCTGGATCCACACCCTCAATACAATTATACCTCGAGGGTTAAATTCTGGTTCCTCATATACCTGCTTTTTGTCTAATAGATAGATGCCCTTTAGACATCAATGAACCATACAATTCACTGGTGTCCTTCAACTTCATGAGTTGACATTTATTTCTAAATATTTATAAATCTTTCCTAATATTTTAAAGTTTACATGCTCCTGTTGATTTTAATTTGGTCCATGGATTTATGATAGCTTGGACCATGCAAATTTTTGTAGGTGGTCAGTTCCTCACACACCTGTCACCCAACGGTGGGATTTTCAAAACAACACAGTTGTCAATAAATTGACAGAGTAGAGGAGGGTCTCACCGTGATTGGAACTGCACTAATTTAGAAATTCCATCAATCTTATGATTGCATGTTAAGGAGCTCTCTTTTAGATAAGAGGGTGATCCACCATACACTTTGACCCATTATATAATCAAAGTACGTTTAGAAACATGGGGATAGTATCCCTTCATCTACACTACTTCGAGCATAATTATACTGCAAGACACTGTGTATAAATATACCCCCCCAGCTTTATTCATTATCTTTTACTTTTGTCTATTTTTAGCTAAGTGGAACACTGAGTATTTAAGATGCAGTGAAGGCTCGGATAGTTTGATACAGTGTACCAGCATGGTTGTTGCATTTCTTCAACAGGCATGAGATTTAAAGGAGAACTATGGGGTCAGTGTTTTTCCCCATAGTTCTCCTTAGGGTAACGGGAGGACACAAACTAGCGTCCTCCCGTTACCCTAAGCTCAGTATACCGCGAGCTACAGCTCGCGGTATACTGAGACGCCGCACCTGGAGCGGATCCCGACTTAGATGACGGGATCCGCCCAGCTGCGTGAGTGACAGCTGGCTCTGCCTATCTAGAGGGAGAGCCAGCTGTACCCGCCCCCTCCCCCGTCCGTTCCGCCAGTCAGTGCTGGCAGATCGGAGCGGGAAGAGGGGAATCCAGCCCCTCCCCCTGTCACGGCAGAGAGCCGTGACAGGATTGAGAGGTGAGGGAACCCGGTATGTGTTCCCTCACCTCCCGATCTACTGAGCCGACCTGTGACAGTCTCATTGTCACAGGTCGGCTTAGAACTATGAGGTGAGTGGAAATCACTCATCTCATAGTTCTCCTTTAAGTTGTATGTTATAAATTTTGCTGCATTGTTTAACTTTTTACATATAAACATATCCCTGTGATCTTTTTCAGGTGCATATGTGGTTGGTTCCGGATTTCGCAAGTGACAAGCGTTACCTAGCAACCGATCGGTCACCTGCTCACCCATTGGCTGACGGACGGCTCAATGATCTTCGGTAATACACACGCGCAGACAACACAGAGCGCGCACCGCGTGTGCCGGTCCCCTAGACAAGAGCAGCCAGCAGGATATAACTCGGACCCAGGGATGACACAAATCGGAAGACAGCAGGTATATCCCGGGCAATGCAGGATCACCACTTCGGACAAGGTATTTCACTGGTATGCATCTGTATCATGTGTTCAGCATATAGCTAAATTGCACCTGGGTGGCAATAGTGTGAATTACCTCATTAGGACATCAGAGGAGGAGGTACTAACTTCATTGTGATTGGTGGTTTGATTTTGTCTCACCTGTATATGGGTGCGGTGTTATCTCTACCGCACCCACCCAGTTGGATTTGGGTTTTTGTCCAGTTAGGAGTGCGATGGGACAGGAGGATTATGCATCAATAAAGGACGATAACTGTGCTGTGCTGTGACACTTCCCCGTCAAATAATAGAGTCCCTTGGTATATAATGGATACAATAGAGGTGGACTCTAATAAGTCTATTAGCTCTTACATTACACTCCTTCTACAATGAGAAGCATATAAATGCTATAGATCAATATTCCATGTAAGGGACTCCAAAGGCAGGGTGGGCTGAAATTTTACCTCAGGGGTAAGTCCTTAGCGGGTTGTGGGATGTGAATGTAAAGTTTGGCTCCAGTCACTTTAAGGTGTTTTTAAAGATTTTATTCCCTTGACTGCTCACAGGGCAGAGAGCGATAAAGGCTATAGACACCAAGGACAGTGCAGACTCACTGACTACTTCCCAGTTTCACATTGCAGAGAGCCTTTATGCCGATTGAGGCAACACTGCGTGTGACAGAACCTCAGCTAGTTAGCAGACATAGCACAAACTCCCTGGGTGAACCTGTGAGGTTAAAGCCAAATTCCAGATTCTCAGGCACCTCCTGCACCCAAAGTTTCTCCCTGGGCCTCCATTCCTGATCACCTGCAGGCCTTACCCTGGGCTGCAGGCCTAGCCAGATTGCACATCACAACATGCACCCTCCCCCAGGCAGGAACCCAGGGTTAAGAGAAAAACTCGCAAGGTCAGCCCAGAATATTTATGTCCTCCCTCAGCATGCACCCCTGACAATGAACCTCCTAGTGATTGGCCAGGGAGACACAAATATTCATAACACTAGCATTATTGGATGTTCTGCTCTATTGCAAGCGTCGCACCCAGCAGTAGGCAGATACAAACAATAACACTGGGCTTAGAAGAAACCTGAAGAGCACAGAACTATTAATCAGCTTAGCAGAACCACCCATGCTTAGGGCAAGGTGACTACACTAGGATAATTTTTACCATCATGATAGTGTGTAATGTCCAGCATGCTTGTGTGTGTGGATCTCAGCTGCGGAGTGACTCTGTGGATGGCTCAGTTAGAGGGTTCACTGTCGCACTCTGTATTGAATGAGTGAGGTCGGAACCCCTAGCACATCATACACCACCACAGGATTGTGAACACAATATAGGTCCTCAATTGTCATTCATTGGGGCCGTGTTGGGACTTGTAGTTACACTAGTTAACTCCACTAATGCAAGGCAATACAATGATGGTAATCAGGATAGCAGTAATATATATATATATATATAAGGTAGGTGAGCTGCAGGCATTCAATAGAGTACTGTCGCTTCAAGCCAATGGAGGATATGCAATCTTGTATCAGACTGAGAATACAGGTGGTACTTGCGATTTGGTGTAAACAGTCCAGATACCCCGAGCCACTGGTTGTGGAAGCTTCACGGCTGTGAATCCTCTGGAGGAGGACAGCAAGGTTCAGGATGGTGGAGGTGAATGCCCTAGCAAGTTGCTTGACTTTCTACCTCGCTAGAACGCTGAGCAAGTGAGCCTTGTTAGCTCTTGTAGGAGAGGCAGGTGTGTGTGGGTGGAGTCGTCAGCAGTGGCCCTCCCAACCATCTCCTAGTAACGGAAATGCTGTGTGAAGGCCGGCCTACTCTGCCTGTCACTTAGACACTGTATGTGTCTGAGAGCGACGTCTGAGAGTACAAGCCCTGGAGGGAACGTGACCGGCAGGTCGCCTAGCAACCAGACGCCGAGACATAGTGGTACAGCCACTGAGGTGGCGGGGGTATTTAGTAAATGAATTTTAATGTGTTTGTCTAAATAAAGGAATACTTATATGCTGTATTTTCTTCTCATTGTTTTTGTGGTGGTTGTAACACTCCCAAATTGTGTTTTTCTTTCTTTCTGTTGTTCAAGACTGCAGCATAGGCAGAAAGCACAGACTTCACTTACAGTATGAAACGGATATAAGAAAACACTTTCAACAGACAAAAAGTAAGAGAAGCACATTGTTCGGGTTAAATACCTTTTCAACTAAGACCTTTTTTGGGTGCAAATGTTCGTATCATGAGAGGACAATGTAAGCAGTTGTACAAGAGCCTAATAAATCTTTCAAACTGGTCTACCCACACCCACATCTAAATCATTTAAGAAAAAATTAAATCTATGTTACAGTAATAAGGGAACCATCTTTTTGTTATCCTTACCTGAGGAACTTGTTTAGGTGTGAGCTCAGTTAACAGACCGTGGAGCTCTAAATCTGGCAAAAGACATTAGTTTATGATTGCTTGATCTGACAGTTTATACTATGTATAGCAGCAGAAGACCCCTCTTCCACACTACTGCTTAACCACTCTCAAAGGAAACTTTGATAGAATAGGCGTGGGATCCTTGTTCAACCTTTACACCTCCAACATTAGCCAAGAGGTGTCTGCTCATGTTCTTTCTCTTTCCTACTTGATTGACACAAACATGTGCAGTCAGAAGTGTGGAGAATATATATTTACTCCTAATAATCCTGGAAAGGGACTATCATATTTTAAAATCCATCTCTTTGGATTTGTTGTTGTATAAAAGATGTTTCATTCTGGTTTATAAAATGCATTAAATGGACCAGAGGGTTATTTCCTTTTAAATGCCCAGATACACAATGTCCTGTGAAGGACAATGGGATGAACTTTATTGGTTTTCAGTCACTCAAAATTTGAGACAATTTTGCCAGAAAATTGTCAAATATTGCAAATCACAAATAGTATTTAACAGAAAGGAGAAACTCCTTTATGCCGATGTCATCAAGTACACTAAACTGTATTGGATTTTATTCTTGACCATTCTTAAATGTCTTACATATGCAGTCATGATGATTTACGTTGATACACGTGTGGATAATGTATTTCATTATTATGTATTTCCTATGACAGAATCATATTTATGTGAACCTTTAAGTTAGTTCATATAATTGAACAATAACTCTAGTGAGTTTTATTTTTTGAAATGAGGAGTAGGTTTGTTTAAGGGTGAGATCCCGGTAATAGTTTACAGTGATGATCCCCGACAGTCAGGTTTCAGCACTCACCGATCAAGATATTTAAATGAATGGAGTTACTCTATAAAATGTATGCTACATAGAGGATATGCAATCTTGTATCAGACTGAGAATACAGGTGGTACTTGCGATTTGGTGTAAACAGTCCAGATACCCCGAGCCACTGGTTGTGGAAGCTTCACGGCTGTGAATCCTCTGGAGGAGGACAGCAAGGTTCAGGATGGTGGAGGTGAATGCCCTAGCAAGTTGCTTGACTTTCTACCTCGCTAGAACGCTGAGCAAGTGAGCCTTGTTAGCTCTTGTAGGAGAGGCAGGTGTGTGGAGTCGTCAGCAGTGGCCCTCCCAACCATCTCCTAGTAACGGAAATGCTGTGTGAAGGCCGGCCTACTCTGCCTGTCACTTAGACACTGTATGTGTCTGAGAGCGACGTCTGAGAGTACAAGCCCTGGAGGGAACGTGACCGGCAGGTCGTCTAGCAACCAGACGCCGGCGCGGCTGACCCAGGGGACGGAACCCGATTCCCTGACATAGTGGTACAGCCACTGAGGTGGCGGGGGTATTTAGTAAATGAATTTTAATGTGTTTGTCTAAATAAAGGAATACTTATATGCTGTATTTTCTTCTCATTGTTTTTGTGGTGGTTGTAACACTCCCAAATTGTGTTTTTCTTTCTTTCTGTTGTTCAAGACTGCAGCATAGGCAGAAAGCACAGACTTCACTTACAGTATGAAACGGATATAAGAAAACACTTTCAACAGACAAAAAGTAAGAGAAGCACATTGTTCGGGTTAAATACCTTTTCAACTAAGACCTTTTTTGGGTGCAAATGTTCGTATCATGAGAGGACAATGTAAGCAGTTGTACAAGAGCCTAATAAATCTTTCAAACTGGTCTACCCACACCCACATCTAAATCATTTAAGAAAAAATTAAATCTATGTTACAGTAATAAGGGAACCATCTTTTTGTTATCCTTACCTGAGGAACTTGTTTAGGTGTGAGCTCAGTTAACAGACCGTGGAGCTCTAAATCTGGCAAAAGACATTAGTTTATGATTGCTTGATCTGACAGTTTATACTATGTATAGCAGCAGAAGACCCCTCTTCCACACTACTGCTTAACCACTCTCAAAGGAAACTTTGATAGAATAGGCGTGGGATCCTTGTTCAACCTTTACACCTCCAACATTAGCCAAGAGGTGTCTGCTCATGTTCTTTCTCTTTCCTACTTGATTGACACAAACATGTGCAGTCAGAAGTGTGGAGAATATATATTTACTCCTAATAATCCTGGAAAGGGACTATCATATTTTAAAATCCATCTCTTTGGATTTGTTGTTGTATAAAAGATGTTTCATTCTGGTTTATAAAATGCATTAAATGGACCAGAGGGTTATTTCCTTTTAAATGCCCAGATACACAATGTCCTGTGAAGGACAATGGGATGAACTTTATTGGTTTTCAGTCACTCAAAATTTGAGACAATTTTGCCAGAAAATTGTCAAATATTGCAAATCACAAATAGTATTTAACAGAAAGGAGAAACTCCTTTATGCCGATGTCATCAAGTACACTAAACTGTATTGGATTTTATTCTTGACCATTCTTAAATGTCTTACATATGCAGTCATGATGATTTACGTTGATACACGTGTGGATAATGTATTTCATTATTATGTATTTCCTATGACAGAATCATATTTATGTGAACCTTTAAGTTAGTTCATATAATTGAACAATAACTCTAGTGAGTTTTATTTTTTGAAATGAGGAGTAGGTTTGTTTAAGGGTGAGATCCCGGTAATAGTTTACAGTGATGATCCCCGACAGTCAGGTTTCAGCACTCACCGATCAAGATATTTAAATGAATGGAGTTACTCTATAAAATGTATGCTACATGCAGTAGGAGTGAGTAAAAATCATGGGGTTTAGTGCAAAATTATTGTCAGGATACTCGGGGAATGAATATAGATCCACTTTAATAATTACACTTTTTCCACACCTAATAAATGAGCTGAAAATAATTAAAGAGGAATCCTCACTATTTTTGGTTGTTTCTGTCACTGCGGGGACAAAGTGCACGTAGCACTTCCCACATTGGTACATGGTCTTCAAACTATTCTAGTGTGGTTGTCTGTGCTGAGAGCCATGAGAGTAACTGAAAGCCACTGCATGACAGTAGAATGAATGCAGAGGCTTTTAGTGATGGGGTAATGACATCATTGTGACAAATGTTATGGGGCCATTGCATGGCAACTGCAATTATGGTACAGCAATAGTGGTTTATGCACCAAGATCCCTGCCATGCCATAATATCATGCAATTCGTAGTCTTGTATATTGGAAGTAGAAGGTGGTGTTTGATATCCAACATATAACTTTTTGCTGCTACTACTATAGCAGCATTCTGATATACTACTATATCTGTGGGTATTTCAGGATAGAGGAAGTAATGTGGGAAAGCAAAGAAATAATTATACAGAATATTCAATAATATTTGTATCAAACACCACTAACAACCTTACTAAGAAAAGCAAATGAAAGACAAGTGCAAATATAAAAATTAATTTATGAAGTATCATACACTGTGAATGTGGAAACATCTGCTTGCCTCTGTCATCCATAATAAATTGGAAACACAGATGGCTAGTATTTTATTCTAACAGTTAATAAATAGTGCATAAATATGTAGAAAACAAAGAGGCTTTGTATTTTATTTCATTTTTAAACAAAAATAAGCTCAGTTCTTTATAAATTCAGTGCTGCAGCAGTTCTTTTGGTATCTACGTGATTTACTAAAAACAGTAATTTCACAGCTTAAAACGAAAGTGTATCGTCTAAACATAATGTTAAGTTGGAAAAAATTTCATATAAAACATACATTTAAAACCCAATTCAATTCTCAATTTTATTTATCTCTTTATAAGCCAGTCTTTATAATTTATCGGGTTCTGAGTTGTGGCTGATTTTTGCATAGAAAGCCTTAAAATACCTTACTGTGTTATGTTCTCCCACTCCAGTGCTCTATGCTGAGTAGCAGCCATACCCTCAGCAGAAGTGCTCTCACACAGAACTGTACTGCATATTCAGAGAGGTGTATCAGTCCATACATGTTACTATGTGATTATCACACCCTGCATAACTGCTGCTGCATAGAGGTTGATAGTACAATGCCTATTTGACTTAAATATCTATTTCTGTGACTTCAAAGGTCCAGGTCCCCCCTGGCAAAGCAGAATGGTGATGTACAGGAGAGCAGGGGTGGAGAAGGGTTAAAAAATAATCCCACAATCAACCCCTTCCTACCCTGACTCTGCTGCAGCCTTTGCTCATCCAAGAATGGCCTGGCTCACATCCATTAAAGGGCACACTCGCCGTCCAAAGGCTATTTCTGGAATTACTTTTTTAAACTTCACTCCAGAACTAGATGTCCACCGCGCCACCATTTTTACCATATGATGGTAGAGAGGTGGTTAAGGTAGAAATATTGAAAATTGTTACTGTTAAATGTTTATGAATAAATCTGGATTGGTAATATGATGTCAGTTGCTAGTAAAGATACTGTAAAGGCATGCTATGTGCCAGTATTTAAATGTGAGTCACTGAGATTACAAATTTTAAAACCACAAACACATAATAAATTTACACATAGTTATATCTGTCATTCAGTTTATGTGAGGTGGAATGAAATAGTTACCATGGAATGGCTGTTTACAGACATGTGGAACTAGATGAAAAATAGCAGTTTGACCACACTGCTGATTAAAAAATTCCAGACCCTTAATATACAGGTTCTGAGAGGGCTATTTCAAATACAGTATTTGGAATTAGTTACATTTCTTCCCTCTTAAGAAAAGAAGATTTAAAAAAAAAAAAAAACTAAATGTATAAGAACAAAATAATTTTTCCTTTGCACCAGATTTGTTTAAAAAATAAGGAATAGACCGTATATGATTTTTGTTGCATGAATATGACTCTAAATTAAATGCATTCCACAACACTGAAAAATAACAATACATATAAGAATGTTTACAAATAGACCTGGTGTCAGGGTGCATCAGTCAACAGCCATAGTACAGCTATTGCCCGGACCGCTGCACCCTATGCGCGTAATTGGCACGTTCGCGCTAATACTGCGCATGCGCAAAAACGTGCACGCGCATTTCCTTGGCGCCGGGCAGGCAATTTAAAGATGGCTCCTGCATCTGCACTTTGCTGAGATATTTTCAGCTGTAACCTGCATCTGTGTTTCCACTCCTGATACCTGTTTGACCCAGCTTGATTCTTGACCCTGCCTGCTTGCTGCCAGCCTTGTGACCTCGGCTCACCCCTGACCATTCTCCTGCCTCCTGATTTGGTACCATTCTGCTCGCAAGTGTATGACCCGGCCTGTTCCTGACTCTGCTTCTGCCGCCTTCTTTTGTACCACGCTGACCGCACGTTACCGAATTGGCTTGTCCCTGACTACGCCTCGGACTCTCACACAAGTGTCAGCTGCCTCTTACGTCCTGTTATCCGCATCAGCATGTCCAGTGTGTCCAGCAGTCATACCAACCACAGGCACTCGTGCTCCTCCCTGTCTGTATAACTACTGTACCATCTCCAGTGGGGCACAGATGAGAGCAGCAAGGGAAGGCCTTTCTCGTCACTTCAGGCTCAAATCAAGGTACGTGACACCTGGAGCAAGATTCATAACTTACTCCAGGTATCCCCACCAGGTTGTTGGGTCATGCCGTACAGCCAGCTTGTAGGGAAATGGCATATTCATTGGGGCCCATGGAGGATAGGCTGCACATATGCAGTATATTGATGGTATTGAGTTCCACCTGGCATGAACTGCTTCTCCTGGTCTTGCCTGCCAATCTGAGGTCTGTCCTAGTGGCTTTGAATGACATGGGCAGGGCAAGGAGAGTGGATGTTAGGATTAATATAATGTTAGTTATTATTTAAATAGCAGCCTATTAGTTTAAAGTGACACTAAGCTCAGGAGCTAAATCTTCAAAATGCATTCAAGTACCCTCACTATTAACAAAAATGTATCTTTTTTGTGTATCACTCAGCTGGAGATCCTCAAATCATCTCTGAATTGGTGCTGACACTGTCCTTCCTTCTGAAGGGTGGCTACTTTTGTTCCCTATGTGTGTTGTAAAGTAACCACTGCTCCAAGCTTGCTCCTGTGATGGAATACAATCTCACATTTAGTTTACCCACTTGTATTGAAATTATAGTCTATCACAGGCATGGGAGCAAGTATGGAGTCGTGGCTACTTTACAATACACACAGGGACCATGGAGAACAAAAGTAGCCAAAACATACATTTTTGTTCATTGTTAAGGTACGTGAATGCATATTGAAGATTTAACTCCTGAGTTTAGTTTCACTTTTTAATAAGACTTGGATTTGCAAACAATGCTATTCAGTAATGACTATAAGAGTAAAAACTGTAAGAAGTACAGTATACTGAATCTAAACACAGAAAGATTGTGATTGCTCGGTTCGATAAATTTACCAACATATGTATAAAAAGTGGACAATTAATTGAATAGTAATAATTTTTAAAAAAGTGCCACGCTACAAATCTATAAATGTCATTCAAAATATACAGAATAATTATATAAAGTAGTAATCCTAAATTCAACATATGTACAAACATGATAGATAATACATCCACAAAGTGTCAACTTCCGCAATTGTGCCAATCATATGATATATATGCTGACAACTGCCAGTCCATACCAAAAGCAATAGTCCTTTCAAAATAAATGGTGTATCCAAATAGTGTCACACCCCTGAGGAAGTTATGTATTCAACGCAACGTATGTAGGGTGGAGCTGGGAAGCACAGAGCACGGCCGGTAACGTTGGAGTTAGGACGAACAATTACAAATCTTCTGGTGGACTGTTTGTTTTTATGGAATTTTATGCAATTTCCATGTATTTAAATGTGAGTAACATTTTAGAATAAAAAGTTTTTATTACTTATTAATGTTTGCACTATGGAGTACTCTCCATGTCTATGACTTGCATTCTGGAGCTACTAAGAAAGTAAATTGAGGAGTCTGAAGGAAATCAACTATTAACACACTGGAGGTATTGGCACATTGGAAGCATCAAGGAAGGTGGATCACTGGTATCCACTCTGCTGATCTCTGGGCGTTCTCCTTGCCTGTATGTTAAAAGGGGATAGGTGCAGTAAAACATAGGTGCAGTCAGGGCCGGCCTTTGGGGTTTTCGAGCTGTAAGTATCATTGATATTTACCGATCCTCGTCTGATCACTCCAGTGTTTGTAAATAACTGGGGACACATAGTACTATGTGAGAGTCCATGAGCCCATCACACTCCTGACCGCTTACTCCAAAAGAAGAAAAGATGGGTGCTTCGGTGATCAGCGGATGGCAGCCGTTATATACATACATAAAAAGCATTCAGCATTTACTACAAATGGGAAAGTCCATATATGGTAAATGATGTCACTGGAGATCCCTGCTGATCGGATCATCATTTACCATATATGGACTTTCCCATTTGTAGTAAATGCTGAAGAGAGAGAGAGAGAGCTCCTTCCCCTCTGTCATCAGCGATCCAGTATGTCAGTGTCAGCAGGGGTGAGAGAGAGAGAGGGGGGAAGGAGCTGGCACACGGGGACGTGCAGGTAAGGAGAGAGCTGCTGCGCATGTCCATATATTCGTGGACGCTCAGCAGCTCTCAAGAATCACTGTCAGTCATCAGTGGGGAGGATCCCGTCAGATACGTCGGGATGTCTTCTCATTGCGGCGCCTAGCCCCACCCACCACCTTAAATAAGGTTTTACAGCCTTACTGTGCATTTTGGCTAATTAGAGTAAATTACTTTATTTACTTATTTAGCCTAAGGAATGCATTCATAAAAAAAAGATAGAACCCCATAGTTCTCCTTTAACATGTAGTCTAGGTTTTATGTTCTGCTTTTTATTTTTACTTTTCTAGATGTACCTACTTGAAAAATGGGGTTGGCATGACAACCTGACACTTTATTTTTATAGACTCTATTTTAGTTTGACATTTATTGTTTATCACTTGTTTATCTACAATTGTTTTATTTAATAAGAATACTTATATTGTGCTTAC